TGTGTATGTGAGTTATATTGTGCTTGTGTATGGATAATTAGGTGTATTTTTTCATTTGAACTTGGTCAAGGCCTAAAAAGTGGCTAATGACATTTGGTTTCGAATTGAGATACTTAAGTAGCAAAACTTTGACAAGAAATGGTCAAAGTGCATTTTAGTATCCAATTTTTGATAGAAAAATCAGATTAGGATGAAACCAGTGTTAGTAGTTAGATTTTGAAATAAGCTTCGTATGGGCGCTTGAGCCATGCCAATGGGACTTCATGTGTGGAAATGGCGTGCATCTGAATTTCATATTAGAAACTGTCATTTGATAGCAAATTCAGGTGTGTGTGCCGCGGTGCATGTACTCGCATGCCGCAGCGCACAGCATAGAGCAGGCAATTGTGGTCTCTGTGCCACATGTCACAATGCATATGGCACAAGCTGCGACGCACGGTGCAATTTTTCACTTTATTTTTAAGTGATGCACATGTTTTTTGGACTTTTGATGTACCCAATCTGTATGGTTCCGCTGTGTATGTAATAATTGTGTATGGCGTTGAATAACCCAAATGAGTATAAAATGTTTTCTAAAAATCTTTTATTAGGATCCCAATGTCTTCAATAATTTTTAACTCAAGAATTAGAAGTAATTAGTAATTTTTGTAGTGGAGCATTTGGTAATGTTACTGAGGGCATTACAAATTATTAGTACCAGTTTATTCAGTGTATCAATCCAGTTTTGCTTTCTTTCTACATTCGTTCTAGCTTCTAGCAACTTATATATTATTCATTACACCATTCTTTCCCTTTTCCTTAACTTTTTTGCTACTTTCATCCTTAGGAGGGGAGAAAATGAGAAGAAGAGCTACTCGAGCTACTCGTAGCACCCGAGTGTTTAGGCATCTGGTTGAGGATGAACCTGTGCTTAAGGTTCAACTGAATATGTCTCAATAAGCTGATAGAAGAGATGTCTTGTTAGAAGAATTAAGGGATATGATGATCGATATCTGGCAAACAGTTAGAGAGCATGATGTGTTATTGTAGGGAAGAGATGAAGAAGAGGAAAGAGAAGCTCAAGAAAGGCCAATACTGGAAGAAGTTCATAGCAGACTTGAGCTGCCTCAAACTTTGAATAGTAGACAAACTGTTGGAGTTGATACAGATCCATCTATTGACCGAGTCTAGAAGACATATGTGAGGTTCAATCCACCTACTTTTGATGGCAGTATGAGAAAAGGAGAAGTCGAGCAGTAGATTGAGCATCTCAAGATAATATTCGAGGTAGTGACCTGCACTTCATAGTAGAGAGTGACCTTAGCTACAGTTTAGTTGGTCGGAGCAGCCAAGAGATGGTGGGATTCAGTGAGGCCAATTGGTGGTGTGAGGTATTCTTGGGAAGAATTCAAGAAGATATTCTTCGACTATTATTTCCCAGCAGCTTTTTGTATTGAGAAAGAGGAAGAGTTTCATGCGTTTAGATAGGGAGATTTAGATGAAGAGGAATTCATAAAGAGATTTAATGATTTATCAGCCTATTCTACCTATCTGCAACATCATAATGACACCTGGCGGAAGGCAGAATGATTTCTAGAGAAGATGCATCCAGACTACAAGCAGTAAATTGCTCTATTCGACATCCGACATCCGATTTGGGTGATTCAAGTGTCCACAAGAAGCTCTTTGAGCCTTTCTAACTAATGGCACCAATTTTACACTCAAATAATTATCCATTTAAAAGATGGACACCCGAACCCTAAATGATTTGTTTTCACCTCAAAACACACACAGTGGTGTCCAACTCACAATACCAAATGTCATTACCCCAGAGACACTTTGACCACCTCGAATGGACCATACACACCATGTCAATTCATTCATATCACACAAATAAGCTATCATGCCTAAAATGACCACTAAACCCCTATTTGACAATAACACAACAAGGCATATAAGATTCAATGCACTAATCAATTGGTCATTTTGGCACATAAAATACTTAATATATATATATATATTATATCACATGTAAGTGTAACTTAGCTAAGTACACACACTTAATCCACAACATCAATCTTGGACCAAGATGCATACTTTATCACAAATTCTTACAAGTAATATCCAAAATAAAGTCACGTTCTTAAGTTGGCA